TACTCATAGCACCAGGTGAAGACTGCCACCATACTGTCTGACTGAAGGAACATGAAGAACAAGTACCTGTACCATACTGTCTGACTGCCACAGCTACCGGATGAAGAACAAGTACCTGTACCATACTGTCTGACTGCCACAGCTACCGGATGAAGAACAAATTCACTACCGTGTACCCATACTGTCTGACTGCCACAGCTACCGGATGAAGAACAAGTACCTGTACCATACCGTCTGACTGCCACAGCTACCGGATGAAGAACAAGTACCTGTACCATACTGTCTGACTGCCACAGCTACCGGATGAAGAACAAGTACCTGTACCATACTGTCTGACTGCCACAGCTACCGGATGAAGAACAAGTACCTGTACCATACTGTCTGACTGCCACAGCTACCGGATGAAGAACAAGTACCTGTACCATACTGTCTGACTGCCACAGCTACCGGATGAAGAACAAGTACCTGTACCATACTGTCTGACTGCCACAGCTACCGGATGAAGAACAAGTACCTGTACCATACTGTCTGACTGCCACAGCTACCGGATGAAGAACAAGTACCTGTACCATACTGTCTGACTGCCACAGCTACCGGATGAAGAACAAGTACCTGTACCATACTGTCTGACTGCCACAGCTACCGGATGAAGAACAAGTACCTGTACCATACTGTCTGACTGCCACAGCTACTGTCTGACTGCCACAGCTGCCGGATGAAGAACAAGTACCTGTACCATACTGTCTGACTGCCACAGCTACCGGATGAAGAACAAGTACCTGTACCATACTGTCTGACTGCCACAGCTACTGTCTGACTGCCACAGCTACCGGATGAAGAACAAGTACCTGTACCATACTGTCTGACTGCCACAGCTACCGGATGAAGAACAAGTACCTGTACCATACTGTCTGACTGCCACAGCTACCGGATGAAGAACAAGTACCTGTACCATACTGTCTGACTGCCACAGCTACCGGATGAAGAACAAGTACCTGTACCATACTGTCTGACTGCCACAGCTACCGGATGAAGAACAAGTACCTGTACCATACTGTCTGACTGCCACAGCTACCGGATGAAGAACAAGTACCTGTACCATACTGTCTGACTGCCACAGCTACTGTCTGACTGCCACAGCTACCGGATGAAGAACAAGTACCTGTACCATACTGTCTGACTGCCACAGCTACCGGATGAAGAACAAGTACCACAAGCTACCGTCTGAAGCCACAGCTACCTGTAAGAACATACTGTCTGACTGCCACAGCTACTGTCTGACTGCCACAGCTACCGGATGAAGAACAAGTACCTGTACCATACTGTCTGACTGCCACAGCTACCGGATGAAGAACAAGTACCTGTACCATACTGTCTGACTGCCACAGCTACTGTCTGACTGCCACAGCTACCGGATGAAGAACAAGTACCTGTACCATACTGTCTGACTGCCACAGCTACCGGATGAAGAACAAGTACCTGTACCATACTGTCTGACTGCCACAGCTACCGGATGAAGAACAAGTACCTGTACCATACTGTCTGACTGCCACAGCTACTGTCTGACTGCCACAGCTACCGGATGAAGAACAAGTACCTGTACCATACTGTCTGACTGCCACAGCTACCGGATGAAGAACAAGTACCTGTACCATACTGTCTGACTGCCACAGCTACTGTCTGATGAAGAACTACCGATGAAGAACAAGTACCTGTACCATACTGTCTGACTGCCACAGCTACCGGATGAAGAACAAGTACCTGTACCATACTGTCTGACTGCCACAGCTACCGGATGAAGAACAAGTACCTGTACCATACACTGTACTGACTGACACAGCTACTACCGTCTGACTGCCACAGCTACCGGATGAAGAACAAGTACCTGTACCATACTGTCTGACTGCCACAGCTACCGGATGAAGAACAAGTACCTGTACCATACTGTCTGACTGCCACAGCTACCGGATGAAGAACAAGTACCTGTACCATACTGTCTGACTGCCACAGCTACTGCCACAGCTACCGGATGAAGAACAAGTACCTGTACCCATACTGCTGCCACAGCTACCGGATGAAGAACAAGTACCTGTACCATACTGTCTGACTGCCACAGCTACCGGATGAAGAACAAGTACCTGTACCATACTGTCTGACTGCTGACTGCCACAGCTACCGGATGAAGAACAAGTACCTGTACCATACTGTCTGACTGCCACAGCTACCGGATGAAGAACAAGTACCTGTACCATACTGTCTGACTGCCACAGCTACCGGATGAAGAACAAGTACCTGTACCATACTGTCTGACTGCCACAGCTACTGTCTGACTGCCACAGCTACCGGATGAAGAACAAGTACCTGTACCATACTGTTTGACTGCCACAGCTACCGGATGAAGAACAAGTACCTGTACCATACTGTCCCACTGTTGAGAGATACTGTTCAATATTACAACTACTGGAGGTATTATCTTAACATGCAAAACACACCTTTACAGTTCGGCTGAAAGCTACACTTGTCCTTACTAATATTACTAAAAGCAGCGTAAAACTAAACCCACTCACTCACTCTTCCATATGTACTACCATATTTTTCTTGAGTAAAGTGCATTCTATTTTCCAAAAACATAGCTCTGTAGAGGAGGGTGGTCATTAACATGACATAACAAATTTTGATATTTTTTTCCAAGGCAGTGTCTTTACCATGAGCATGTAACATTAAAACTACCATGTCAACAGATCTGAAATATAATACCCAATGTAATTACACAGTGTGGTTCATCAAACAGTTCATTGTATGTCTGGACTAGTTTTCAATCTATTCAATCAGTCTAGTGGGGTAGCCTTGTGGTTAAATCATTTGCTCGTCACGCTGAAGACCTGGGTTCAATTTATAAGTAAGTGGCATGTTTTACAGTTGTTCATGTGATAATCAAGACAATAACAAATGTTAAATATATGAAAACCCACAACACAAGGAAAAGCTTATTCATAACACAAGGATAATTTTATTCAAAATTTCATTCAATATGGTTTCCATTAAATTCAATTGTGTGAAGTTATCAGCAGTGCACCAACTCACCCATATTTACAACATCAATGTTGTTGATGCCATGAAATACACTTCAGTTGACAGAGAATTCATACATTTATCATAAATGCCAGACGTTGACTCGTTAAAAGTCATATTTGTTGAAGTTTGACTATAACATGTCAACACAATGTTTTTGCCAGTGTGCGTACAGGAACCTGGATGGTCACGGACTTGTCAAATAAAATATGGGACACATAAATATTTATTTAGCTTGAAGCTCTGGTGTAAATATTGAATAACAAGTAAAGCAGAATGCTTAAACATGAATGTTTTACATACTGAGCACAGTAAATTATGGTAAACAATCACTAATTGGGTAAAATTCCATATATATTTCCCCTGATAATGCAGTACTAACGTGTCAGTGGAAACAAGCTTTGATAAAAAATAAAGCCAACGTCTTTGTAAAGCCTTCGAAAGGATTACAAATGGTAATCATTCAATGAGATGAATGATCTGCAACGATGAGGGTTATTAAAATTGGTACTCCAGCCAGCTGATCAATGCAGGCCATGAAATTTACATGAGTCTGTTATTGTGCAGGTATTTAAGAAGTGAGTCATAGCGCCAGAGCCACCTTGATGAACAAAGACAGGTACAAGACGAACCTCACACAAGAAAAGGTGCCATGCTAGACAGCAAAATCAATCTCCACACCAGCCAATGAAACATGACTTGCAAATTAAGGCAAACAGCACTTCTATCAGGATTTCTTTTTTAAATCCTTCTTGCTGATAACAATTGACTGGATAATGTAATATTTACAATGATGTTAACATGGAACAGATGTTCCTATCAGCCTCTCATGCATGAAGTGCACAAGGACAGGATGGATTTTTAATGATGTTTTGCTATACATCAATATATCACAGTAATTCTACATTATATTCAGATGAACATCAGCTTGTGTAAAAGGCAACAGAAACAGTTGTTAGATTGGCTGTGTGATATCACCCTGTACTAGAACAGCAAACCAATGTGTCCTGCATCCTGGCAGTCTCCAGACTGGGTAGAATAATCTGGCCATTGATATCTTAACTTTCGAGTTTTATGTGGCCAGGTACATTAAATATGCATTAACACAGCACAGAGTCCTTAATGTTCAATAAACTGAGATCCTGCATCACCAATGAAAACAAACACATCAGACATCATCAGATCAAATACCAAGTTCATCAGACATCATCAGATCAAATACCCGTTCATGGGACATCAGTAGATCAGATACCAAGTTCATCAGATCAGATACCAAGTTCATCAGATCAGATACCAAGTTCATCAGATCAGATACCAAGTTCATCAGACATCATCAGATCAGATATTAAGTTCATCAGACATCATCAGATCAGATACCATGTTCATCAGACATCATCAGATCAGATACCAAGTTTATCAGACATCATCAGATCAGATACCAAGTTCATCAGACATCATCAGATCAAATACCCGTTCATGGGACATCAGTAGATCAGATACTAAGTTCATCAGATCAGATACCAAGTTCATCAGACATAATCAGATCAGATACCAAGTTCATCAGACATCATCAGATCAGATACCAAGTTTATCAGACATCATCAGATCAGATATCAAACTCATCACTGTGCTATCTGAGGAAATGTAAACAGCCAAGTGTACTGACATGTAAGGGTGGGGAGACATGACTTCACCCCGGCAACATGTTGTCTATCACTGAACCTCTGAACCTGTGTCCGAGGCTGGCTGACAGCACGGCCATGATATGATACATATCAGATAATCACGTCAAATCAAATGGAAACTTTTTTACTTTAAATTTTTTAGAGCAGGTACCAAAGTAGGAGGTCCCTACAGACTCATGTTCAGAAGTTTTGTGATTAGTGAACCTGCAGGCAGTCTGCTGAAAGCCTTCCAACTGAACATACCTGCGTGTGGTTTCTTTTCCCTCTGGTCAAGTTCTTCTGCTTCCAGGTTGACATTATCAGCTATTTCAGATAAAACCTGTCTATCCCAATCAGTGATTATAAGCTTCTTCCCCACCTGCAGAGTGAGCTGTATGGACAAGGAGGATCTCTGGTGGAGAGATTTTATGTGCTCCTCACATCAACATCCCCCCCACTTGTGAGGAGAGTAAATCCCAGCAGACCTCATCCGGTGCTGGACAGTCCCTGTCTGCCTCACAGTGACATTCCCAACAGACACACATAGCTATAGTCAAGTCATCCATGGATGGCAGTCACTAAGTGGTTATGTCGTCCATTACAGCACTTAGTGTGAAAACCTTCCAAGTCAGTGTCCTGGTCCAGTGACCTGACCTGCAATACCTACCACTTCACACCTGTAATTGACATCAAGGTATGTTTCACTTAGCACCTATTGTTTTTGGTTTTCACATTCCTACCAAAAACAGGGACAATAAAAGTCACATACTCCTGAAGATACTCACAGGTCATGGACCTTTGACAATACTTTCAGTACTGGGTAATCTTCAGGATGTGAAAGTGTCAAGGTCCCTCCATAACGGAGTATATCAATCACAAACTTGGCACAGTAGTTCTCCAACCTCTAATACCACTACCCATACAATCATATGTCACATTCCCATGAACTGCCATGACTTAGCATAATCACTGAATTTCATAAAGCTAAACATGTTCATTCACAATTTTCCAGTTGAATAACACCTGTCATTATGCCTGTCGTAAATATCACAGGCATGCACCACGCACAGCATGTTGGGAGTGTACACTACAATCAAGTCTTTAAAGTTTTCATACTGATCCTCCCTTCTCTGCAGTCATACTCCACTGCTTCCATTCATCACCACGCTCCTGGATATTGAGAGACTGCACTGAAAGCTCTCCAACCTCAATGAAAGCCAACATGGGTAGAAGGTGTAAACAGAGATGTTGCACAGTGACCTGCACACCTCCATTGTGTTACCCAGCCTCTACTACAATAGTTCTACATGCATGTGAACTCAACTTCAAAGAAATGAGGTGAAAAGTTGTGTGATTCGTGACCACCTGCCTGCAGATCTCATGAAAGATATTACAATAATTTCAATAGAGCATTATTATTTCACACCAAGTTCAGTGAACAGCACTGGGCTTGAAGAGAGACCTGCAACACCTGTAACACACGTGCCATGTTTTCAACTATCGCTGTTACAGAGTGATTCTATTTGCACTGAAGCTAACTTCCCACTCGAAAATGGACACTCCAACTAGACTGCCTGCCTGACTGAGTATGGTTTTTACGCCGCTTTTCACAATATTCCAGCAATATCACGGCGGGGGACACCAGAAATGGGCTTCATACATTTTCCCATGTGGGGAATCGAACCTGGGACTTCAGCTTGATGAGCGAACGCTTTAACCACTAGGCTACCCCACTGCCCCACTCCAACTAGAAGATCTGGAATGATGGAATATGAATGTGTCTAAAATAATTGCTGAAAACAATAATAATAAGTTTCATGCATTTTATTTCTGACTTGAATCCCAAAGAAACATGTTGGTTGTTGATGTTAAACTTAATGAGAGTGCAGTTATCTAGCAAAAATATTTTTACCTTGCTGCAATTCTGATGCAAGTGCTCAATCATTTGTGTCTTTGTCACAAAGGCTACATGTATTACTGTCTACATATCCTATTTTGAACAAGCATTGTCACTAAGGTGAATTATCAAATCAAACTAAAAAAGTAAATTTAAGATGAAGTTAAATGTCAACTAAAACATGACCAGTCAACCTCTCTTGATATCTTGCTCTGTAGTTGTTCAAAAACAAAAAAAAATTCAAGACACGATTTGACTTGACATGAATTCATGGTGTATGAAATATGCAAAAATTGTAATAAAAAATATTCAAAAGAAGTCTTGAAAGTCTATAAAGAAAGTCCAGTGAACCATTCTTGATATATCTTGCTGACAATCTTAACATGCAGGTTAACATGTTGAAATCTTCAAAGTGTCACCATGACCTTGAAAATTATGTGAAGGTCATCAAAAACAGATCATCACTGCTGACATGTTGCCATGGATACACCAACACCATCAGGGAGAGAACATCAGATCATCACTGCTGACATGCTGCCATGGGTACACCCACACCATCAGGGAAAAACATCAGATCATCACTGCTGACATGTTGCCATGGATACACCCACACCATCAGAGACAGAACATCAGATCATCACGGCTGACATGTTGCCATGGATACACCCACACCATCAGGGACAGAACATCAGATCATCACTGCTGACATGTTGCCATGGATACACCCACACCATCAGGGAGAGAACATCAGATCATCATGGCTGACATGTTGCCATGGATACACCCACACCATCAGGAGAGAAAACATCAGATCATCAGGCTCATCATGGCTGGACATGTTGCCATGTTGCCATGGATACACCCACACCATCACGGACAGAACATCAGATCATCATGGCTGACATGTTGCCATGGATACACCCACACCATCAGGGAGAAAACATCAGATCATCACTGCTGACATGTTGCCATGGATACACCCACACCATCAGGGAGAAAACATCAGATCATCACAACAGACATGCTGCCTGGGTCATGCTGGGAATACACCCACACTATCAACATAAACAACACATCAAAGCCACAATATGACTGTCTGTACATTAACCACCCAAGGGGACGACAGTATAAGTGCTGGGGATGAAAGGATGAAAGGATGGAAGGCAGATAGAGAGAAAGAAGAAGCTGTGCAAGGAAGAGTGTTGTCTCATCCCCCAATGAGCTCACCATGTCCAGGTGGAAGGACAAGATAGCTTCACTCACACTCAATTTGTCCAGACCAAAACCAGCTACTCCACAAGGGCACAGCTCAATTACACCCTTCCATAAAAGAAAGTGTTCTGTAAAGTGATTTGCTGTATGGCAATAGTTCCAGCTAGCCTGGCTCCATGGCTGTGCTGAATGCTAAGCCCATGGATGTGTAAATAGATATTTTATTGCATAGCATTCCATGAAGAGACAGTGGCAATATTCTATAAGCTACAAATATAAACACAGCAGGTACAAGAAATATGGATACCTTTCACACATAAATGATGTACATTATAAAAATTTTGTAGAAATCATGTGGTATAATGACATGGAAATAATATATGAGGAGACTATAGAGATGACACAACTTTATGGATGATCAACTTCTTTATTTTAACAATAGCGACGTATCGGTATAGACTCTTATACCGTTTTCAAGCATATGGGGGAATGATGGGGGGGGAGGAGGAGGAGGAGACTATGGTAAGATATAGAATTCATTTAAAGTTGTAAAGATGGTGACATATTTTGGAAATTAATTCAGGACTTCTGTTCATGAAAATTATTAGGAATTGTTCTTTTTTGAGAGTGTAGTAAATTCTTGGTTATAATAAAGTATTGTGTGCAGTAACTCTATCTGTTAAAGAGGCAAGTGCAGATAAGTAGACAGTTCTAAGGATGCCAGTCTGTTATTTTTATTTTTTAGAAGTTATCATTAAAAACTATTAATTATCAGCTTAGAGACCTCTGAAAGTGTAAGATCCAGCCTATGAAAAAGCTTGCTTTCTTGACATGTTAGTAGAGGGTTACTAACTTGCTGGGGTGAAAAAGCATACCTTTCCACACATATTTCTGGAAAAAAAACTAAACCAATCTGGGAAAAAAAGTTTTAAGAAGTTGATCCTACACATATTTTATCATGATGTCTGAAGAGTGCACCAAGATTAACTATATGGATGACATACTGATTGAAATTTGTGCCAACTCTCATAACATTTATACTGTTTAAGTAATGTGTGGTCTTGAAAAATCCCTTTTAATCACCATCAACCTGGATGATGTGAGATGGGGATTTGTTGCTCATTTGTATCAGCATTTCTAGGCGAAACATCCAAGGGGAATAGCCTCCAGATGGTAATATGTTCAATGTAACCAATACTTTGGAAAATAGCTTACACAGACAAACTTTCCAGCATTGTAGGAAGGTGATGGGGAGAATTCGGGTTTAACATCAAAGTTCAAGATAACTTCTCTTACAACAACCTTACAGCAACAAGCATGAGAATGTTTGCCATCCCTTGTTATGTACCCCTTAGCCATGGCCAGGGTAACAAGTACGACCAGCTTCTTTTGGTAAGACATAGCCAGGTGATCATTAACCTTCTGGTCTCTGAGCAGATGCTCTGTCCTCCAGACCATGGCAGCAGTCTCCTAAGTTAACTCAATCATAAATCTTCAACTTATATCTTCTTTCAATACACTTATTGCCATGGATACCATATATATGTGAAATCACTGAAGAAAATGAAGGGTTATGATTTTCATTCCTGTAGGATGAGAATTCCCATGTCCCTATGATAGACCCAATGATAGCCCCGCAGACCTATGTCCAGCATGGTGTGAAGTGGACACACATCAGTAACCTGCTTCAGACCTATGTCCAGCAAGGTGTGAGGTGGACACACATCGGTAACCTGCTTCAGCTTCATGACACTTCCATATCTCAGGGATCTAATGTCTTGTAACGAAGACAGCTCACATTCCAGATTAGTGTAACCTGCTTCAGACCTATGTCCAGCAAGGTGTGAGGTGGACACACATCGGTAACCTGCTTCAGACCTATGTCCAGCATGGTGTGAGGTGGACACACATCGGTAACCTGCTTCAGACCTATGTCCAGCAAGGTGTGAGGTGGACACACATCGGTAACCTGCTTCAGACCTATGTCCAGCAAGGTGTGAGGTGGACACACATCGGTAACCTGCTTCAGACCTATGTCCAGCAAGGTGTGAGGTGGACACACATCGGTAACCTGCTTCAGACCTATGTCCAGCAAGGTGTGAGGTGGACACACATCGGTAACCTGCTTCAGACCTATGTCCAGCAAGGTGTGAGGTGGACACACATCGGTAACCTGCTTCAGACCTATGTCCAGCATGGTGTGAGGTGGACACACATCGGTAACCTGCTTCAGCTTCATGACACTTCCATATCTCAGGGATCTAATGTCTTGTAACACAGACAGCTCACATTCCAGATTAGTGTCTCTTACTACACAGGTTAGGCCATGTGTGTATGTATGCTGGTATACTAAGGATAAGCCCTGGATACCAAGCAAACTACTCCACTTCACTTCAGATGTACTGCATAACCTCTTCCCAATACAGGTCTCCACACCAGTGACATGCATGGTCACTAGTCTCTACAGCAACCTTAGGCAAATCTAATTTACTGCTTTATGAGATTCCACTGTGGCAAAAAGCCACCATATCTCAACAAAATAACAGCTATAAAAGAGGCAGGTCAACAACCTACAATAATACAACAGAGAGCCAAACGGCAGAGATTTATCAAAGTCAGTTTGTGAAAGAACTACCAAACCAGGTCCCAATCCATAGAATAATATCTGGG